CTGGCTGGGCTTGGCCTATGACCCCTTGTGCCTTAATCTCCCCAGCTGTACAATTAGGTAAAAGTTGGGTTGCAATGAAAACCAGATGTTCCATCAGGAACGAAGTCTCCTGGGCAAACAAATTAAATAATAAATAAATGCTTTCGGTTTTACTAGCAACTGGCCATGCTGTACCTCCTCCTGGGCTCCAATTAGAGTACTCCTGTTGTCTTGAGGAGTTTTAAAGCTCAAGCGTGAATATGAAAGAGTCCTGGAAAGCCAAAAATTCTTACTTGTTTTTATTTTTATTTCTGTTGATTGTTGGCTTTTGTTTGGTTTTATGTAATGTTGCAAGCCTGATTTTGCAAATCATCATGAGTTTAACTTTGCATTCTGGTTTAAAGGAGGTATGGTTAACCAGGTTATAACACTGTTTTAGTAATTTAGAGAACATTGATCCTGGTACATTCTAATGTGTGAAGTACTCTGGAGATTACAGAAACATAGCAAGCATTTCTCTCAATTTGCCTAAAACCCAAGCCAAACCCAAGCCAGATTCAACTCTGGAAAAAACAATACTGAACTTGAATTTCTAACTGCAGCCATTCATTTGATAATCTCTCTAAAATGTTTATATCTACTTCTCTGCGTTAGCTTGCTATGTACAATCATATTTGGTCAAGTAAAGGACTTGAAAGACCTTGGACACATTATTTTTACTCATTTTTTTATTAGTGAACTCATTCATTCATTCATTCAACAAATATTTGAACACCTGTTAAGTACCCAGTATTATTCCTGGCCCTGAAGGAGCAACTAAAATCACTGGCTAAAGTTCTTGTCTGCTTAACAATAGAAGAATGGAAAAACAGATTTGTGATATGACAGTCTGTTTTGACTTGAGTCTTCCTCATTCCTAATTAACCTTTTTAAAAATGGAGGAAGAGGGCTGGGGATTTAGCTCAGTGGTTTCGCTGCCTGCTGCTCAAGCACAAGGACCCGAGTTCGATCCCCTGTACCAAAAAAAAAAAATGGAGGAAGGCATGTATTGACTGACAAAAAGATGATATATCCAAAGTGACTATCCCATGGCCACGTGTGGCCCAAAGGAAGTTGAGCTTTCTGTTGACACAGTCATGGTTGTCATTTAGTGAGTACTTATTATGTCATCATGGAGGTAAGCATTCCACTTTTATCTTCTCAGCTTTAGAGTTGAGAAAACTGGGCCTGCAGTGCTCTGCCTTGTCCAAGCTCCTGCTGAGAGACAGGAAAACTGTCCAGGAGAAGTTATAGCAACATCTACCTATGTTTTCAGAACCTACCATTTAGCAGTCACTGACCTTCAACTCCCGGCTTATTGTTTTACTCCCTCCTTGCACTCTCTCTGTAAGATCACAGTGCCATGGTTTTTTAGAGCAGAGGACGTGGAAGATTCTCATGGTGAAGTTGATCTGCCCCATGTCCCTCAGTTAGTGAGTGTCTGAGCCAGAATTCCTGCTCAGTCCTTCTGATGCCTAGCTTGTATACTAGCTCTGCCATTTTGTTTCATGTTTTATAAAAAACAGAGTAAAAGCTTGGACTACAAAACCTGCTCTGTATGACTTTCCTTACCTCCCTTTGACTTGATTCCTACATTTAACTCTAGAGGGTAACGAGTTTCTCAGTAAGGAGTGGAGGACACTGAGTACTAGAGAGTCTGTGAGTCTTCCCCACGGCCTCTTGGTAAAGTCAAAGACAGAGATTTCTTGGCTCTGTGCTTGGCTGATGTTCACTAGAAACAATGGGTGGAAAAACACTTTACTGGAGCATTCTCTGTGCATACGAAGGGAAGACAGGAGAAGCAACCTTAGGGAGTGCCCGGTGCATCCTTTCTTTTCGTGTCCTTCTGTCTAGCTCCAAACTCAGGGACATGGATCCAAGAAGGATATGCCTGGTTATGATGCGGGATTTTGCATCCTTTACATTTTGGCTTTGTATCAGAAAGAACATCTAAGGAGAAGCAATACTTTTTGACAAATGTATATACTCATGTAATCATCATTTCAGCCAAACTAGAGACCATTTCATCTCATCAGAAAGTTCCCTCGTGCTCTTTTCTAGTCAAGCTATATTGCCATTTATCCAAGGCAATGACCAATATTCATATTCTTGCTCTTTCTCTTTCACTTCTCTTTATATGATAATGTTTGCTTTCCTGCAGCAAAGTTTATGGTTACAAATTATACACATTGTTCAGTAGTTGTCTTATTTTCTGCTTGTTTGTCTCCAGTGTTCTTTTTTGGCAACGAAAAAAGTTCATTCATCTTAGGTCTGCACATTTACAGGTCTGTGAAATCTAAAGATCTAGTTCTACAAGAGGAGAAATAGTTTGCTTGATTAGGAGCAAAAGAGAAAGAATTACAGAAGGGAGAATGTATTGGAGATAAGGACTCAACATTCTGCTTATGACATGACCATGATGGACCCCATGCTAACATGCCAGACTCCAAGCTCACAAAGTTGACCCAAGAAAGGATCTGAAAATCACCATCAGTAACACTCAGGGAGGATATTAGCAACTGGTTTCACAATTCTTGTCCCAGTTCCACTTCTGAGTTCCCAGGCGACTTTAGAAAGTGGCTGCTCCTCTCTGAAGTCATTATGCTTACCTGTAAAGTAGACTGGGTTCGTGGGTTGGTTAAATTATTTCTGTGGTTTGATTTTTCCTCTGGCCAGGTTTGGATTAATTAGCACTGATTTCCCCAGAGCTGCTCAGGTCTGAACTCTAGGCTAACATTTCCAGCCCAAAAGCAAACACTGTTCTAAACATCAGGTTTTGAACAAGTTCTGTCTAAAATTTCCTTCCACCTCTTTCTGGGAAGCAATCAAGAGCTCCATTTTCTAGGCGACTGTAATTTGTTGAAAAGCATTTGATTGTTGTATTGAAAGGTTGCACTGTACATGTAAAAAGGTGTTTATGAGGCTTCATACAGTATGGTTAATAAGCAACCAAGACCAGAGTCTTTATAACAGAGACCTGGGCTGTGAGCATCTATATTGTACCTTGCTGAGGCCGGTGAAATGTCTAATTATAGTGGCTGGTGGTCTGGAATATAAACCGGGGTGCTTGCTGCATGCTGCAGGTCAGCCCTCTCTATGACAGTAACACTCCCTGAACCTTTCTTGGGCTCAGCAGAAATAAACCATTGTACTCTTTCGATCCAGCTTTTGAACACTGAAGATTCAAAACCCCAGGCTGTGAATGGGCTGGGCAGGGTGCCTTCTTCAATGCATTAGAAGCCAAGAACCAGGCAGCAACTGGTAGCAAAATCAAAGTCAGTGTTGGTTTACTAGTGTAGAGATATTCATGGCTGAAGGACCACTAGCTCAGTCTACGGCGAGCACAAGCCTCTTACGAGGTTTTCTAATTTCTACTCTGTCCCCCTCCCAATCCATGCCTTGAAATGCAGCTAGAGCCCTCTCCCAAGCATACATGTGAATTTGGGCATAGGCTATTTCTTTGACACTGAAGGATCTCTTCTGTTCCCAACATCCCCCAAATCCCTTCTTCTTCACTGCTCAGTAAACTCTTACTCATCCTTCAACCCCTGGATCAAGAGACACTTCTTCTGGGAAGACTTCCCTGACCTCCCGGACCAACTCAAGTTCCCCTACATGGTTTATTTATTCTCTGTCCTAAAATTATACTTCTGGAACACCTACTATGTGTCCAGAATTGAACTGTATGTTTTACATGGAATAATTCATTTACAATGTATGTACTGAGAATAAATAAGAACCCTAAAATTCACCTGGGATATGAGAGAGGTGGTAAATTGCCCAACCAGTGAGCCCAAAGTAAGCTCTTCATTATGAGATTTTACTCTCCAAATGGTAGGTATGAGACTCACACAGTTTCCCCTAAATGTTAACAAAAAGAAATGTGGCAAAACTCCAATGAAAGACACAACATTTCAAGAGCAGCTGCCTCCTGGTGACAGCTCTGTGTGTGAATTGCTTTCTTCTTTTGGCTTTTCTCTAGTTTCCAAATTTTCTACGGTGAGTTTGTGTTTCTCTTGAAATTGAAAGACATTCAGCTTTAAAAAAAATTTAAGAAAGCAAAATGTGCATTTGCCTGAAACAACACTGTAACAGTCCTAGAATTATATATAAAAAAGTTACCCATAATATCACCACACTAGACAAACCAACTGTTTTCAATTTCGTGTTTGCTTCCCAGGGCTCATCTCTTAAAAATATTTCATTTTCACACAGTTGTAATTACAGTGCACATACTTTCTTTTGGTATTCTGTTCTTTTCACTTAATATTTTGTCCTGATGATCATGTAAATAACACTGCAATATTCTTACAAAGTCGAACTCCCCTATTCTTCAGGAGTCATCAGTGTGATTCTGGCATTAACAAAACTTCCAAGAAGTGCAAGTGTCTTCTATTAACTCATCCTGACTTGGTGTGCAGTCTTCCATTCAGGGATTTAGTCCTTGGTCCCACATAGGTGCTTACTGTGCAGCAGGCACTTGTCAGGTGCACTTTAGCCCTCACATGGTTTGTGACAGTCAGCTCCAACAGAGAGCAAATCAATCCATTTCTTAAGAACTCTTTAAAAGAGAGTGGAAGATGTTAAGAATTAAAGAGTTAACCTGAAAGAACCCAAGGATTTGAGGTCTCAAGATTTTACCTTCTCATTTGGCACATTATTAGTATTAGAATTTTATAGAATTTTATGACTTACGGAATTCTTTTACATCCATCATTACTTGTAATTATCCAGCATATCAGATGTGGGAGTATCTTGGTCACTTTGTTATAGCTGGGACACAATACCCAACACCTATAAATTAGCAAGGAATGGTTTATTTTGGCTCACAGCTTATAGAGGTTTCAGACCATAGTCTACTTGCTCCAAGGCAGGACAACATGGCAGAGGGGCATGGCAGAAGAAAGCTGTTCATGTCCTGGCAGCCAGGAAGCAGGGAGAGAAGAGGGGAGCTGGGGAGGGAGACCACGCCCCAACTGACCCACCTCTTCTGACCAGAATCCACCACCTATCAGCAAGTCAGCGATAAGCTCTCACAATCTGATCACTGTTCTAAAACTCTACCTCTGAGCACATAAGGCTCTTGGGGGAATCTAGATATTAACCTTGACAGAGAAGAATTCTCTCCAAATGAGGAGATAATGATCCTAGAAAGTTATTTGATTTAAAGTATCCTATCCATGAAAAATATAGCCATGATAAATGACCACTAAGCACATCAAAAGAAGCTCAACAGCTGAACATGGTGATACATGCCTGCTATCCCAGGTACTTGGCTGAAGGCTGGGACAGGAGGATCCAAAATTTTGGCCCAGGCCAGCCTGGGCAACTTAGCAAGATTCAGTCTCTGAGGGAGAGAGAGAGAGAGAGACTCAGCATTATTAGTCATCATGCCTTGTTACTTCAATCAGAGACATTTCAACTTCAGAGCTCACTGAGGGGCCAACCTGAAGACTCCAGCCTTATTCTCTTCCTCCACAGGTGTTGATCCCAAAAGATTCCACAGTAAACCTTCTGGATGCTAATTTAAAAAAAAGAAAACAAAAGAAAAATGTAGCCACACCAAATTCATTGGGTTTTGACCTATTTTTCTCATATATTAATACGTCTTGGGAGGAATTTATTCTGTTGAACATACTTTGTTTCTTTAACAGTTATAGATAATTCCACACTGTGGATGAAGTGTAATTGATTTAATCTGTTTCCTGTTGATGGGCATTTATGTTGTCTCAACTTTTTATTATTCTACTTCTACAATTAGAAACAATTCCCATAATATATCTTTAATCCTAAGGGTATATTTTGTAACATAGGCTCATAGAAATGGACACAGGTCAGAGTGTATGCAAATTATAGTCCAATAAAAGTTCCTCCAAAGTATTGTATAAAAATATTTGTCACCAACTGTGCCTGCTCTTAAAGTTATAAATCTTTAAAATTTTATAATAGTAATCTTTTAATATTAGAAAATCATGATGCTGTCTCATTGTAAGGTTTAGTCTACATTTTCCAGCTCATTGCTAAGTTTGATTATTTTTTATAGATGTAGGGGCCTTTTGTGTTTCATCTAGGAAGAATTTCTAGAACTTCCTAAAGTCCATAGAGAAGCTCCTGGGGCCAGGGCAGACTGAGAAAGGCTTTACTTCAAGAGCTCATGATTTCTGCAGTCAAATCTCAAGGGTAAGTGGGAACCAAAAATGAGAATAAATTACAAGATCAGTGATTAACAGGAAAGAGAGAGAGAGAGAGAGAGAGAGAGAGAGAGAGAGAGAGAGAGAGACCTAAAGCACATCAAGTGGTTTGTGTTGTAATCCATAGAGGCTCAGGAAGCTCTGGATGCTTTTTCTCTGTGGCTCCCAGTCCATACCACAGCAGCAGTTCCTTCAAGGAGTCATTATCACCTTGGGAGTGAAGCTATCTCAAAGCAGATTTCATGTCAGAGGAGCTAAAGGCAATTCAAATTCACCATGAAGTTCTTTAACTTGATTCTTGGGGCGCCTCATTTGCACAGCAGGAAGTCTTCCAAGGCCTGAAGGGACCCCTAGAAGGGGAGCCACATACTCACATGCTTGTGTAAAATTGAGAGGTTAAATATTTGATCTTCATTCGTTTAACACTGTTGTCTCTTTCTATTCCAAACTCTCCTTTGTCCATTGCCGGGATGGCATGAACATTTTTAGGAACTGGTCAAAAGTATGCTATGGTGAAGATACATTTAGCCTGTATTTCATGATATATATGCATGGGGCTCGTGTCCAGTAAGTTACTGCTAGTTGCTCAGTGTAAATGTGGGCCCAAGGACTCTCCTCCTACCCACTGGACTAACTTATCTGTCGTGTGACATGAGGTTGTGAATTCAGAGACTATTTTGGCATAGGAACAGCTCTGTGGCACCTGATGCAAGAATCAGGAGGATATAAGAGGAGAGAGAAAAAGCTTTGAAAGATGCAGTGCCAGTAGCTAAGCTAGAAATAATTCTATATTCATCAGACATGCACAATTATAAGCAGAAATTTCTGTTCAATTGATTCCTAGTCAAAATAGAAGTTCTTTCCTGTCAGAATACACTCAGGAAAGCAGCATTTTATTGACTACATAATTATAAATCTCCTATATTTTTTATGAGAATCCCATGAAATATAATTTACCAGAAATAATATGTTGGAAGGGTACAAACCTGCTTTCTTTAGTAAGTATATCTTTCTGTGAGTTGCCTGCTTTATGCATTCCATGTATCATATTTTTATTACTTTTGATCAACTGTATTATAGAAAAGATTGAATTGTCTTCCTCTTTTCTCTGTAGAAAATATTACAAAGTTATCATCATAAGATACAAAGAATATAACAACCAAATTGTAGGAAAAAATATTATAGAAGTATAACAGACAATTAATTCCTTAAAATGTTGTTTCATTTTTCTTCATGTTGTGGTTATTTTTTATTAGACAGATTTGAAATCTTAGTTTTTTGGCATAATTTCTTATTCTAAATAAACAATATTCTTCTGCCTAAGTTCATTCCTTCGTATTCTTTTATCTGATGAGGCTCCAAAATGGAATTTACTGCAGACCCCACAATCTAAAAGAGAATGGAGGGTATGGAGTTGGCCTCAAAGATTCCTTTAGTCTAAGCTGAAAGCACAGGAAAAAGTGGGTTTATGTCATCTTTTAGTGTAAACTCTTATCACTAGTACACATTTAATGACCATTGTAAAGTAGACACTCTTACTTTTAATGCATAAATAAATGGCCCTTCTCCTAGCTCTAAGATTCACTTCAAGGGTCCATTTGGCAATTATGGTAGATCAGATTATTGTGCATAAAATATCCACTGTATGCCCCACCCAGACTACTTTGAAGAGATATACTATCCCATTTGTCCATGGTGAACTTGGCATGTGACCTGCTTTGGCCTCACTGTAGGGGGAATATGTGCCTGTCCATGGGCCAGTCTTCTGGCACTGGAAAGATGAGAGGCACATGGAGTGAACTGAGGCACAATCTGCAGCCTTTGGGGCTCTGGACACAACAGGATCTGACTCCAGTCATGTTTCCTGGTTTTCAAATTCTATCTAAAATCTAATCAGGAAACCATACCTCTGCTCAAGCAGATACATGGTTATGGGTAGAACCAACCAGCCAAAGTGAGGAGCAAGAAAAACAGCCTTGCCATGCAACCACTTAGACAAAGTCAAATATAGATTTAACAACTAATTATAGGAGAAAGCTCCAAAGTGCGTTATAAAATCAAGTGTTTGCATAGAAACATTTTTGCTAGAAAGCAAAGTGGTAGCTCATTTGCATGTTTGGTATTGTTAGCATACAAAGGAGCTGAACTGCTAAAATTAAGATAGTGAGTTGTTTGAAAACCTCATTTTAAAATAGAATAAATCACGCCACAGACAGATGTTGAAAAGTGTGCCTGATGTGGAGAGAGCTGGCCTCCAGAGCGAGGCTTGGTGGAGGCTTAGGCTTCTCTTGAGAAAGGCCATCTGAGCTCTTCTCTGAACCTCAGGGATCAGGGATTAGAGATGTGGGAAACTCACTCTCTGTGGCTTTCTGGGAAAGGGTCACAGTTGAGAGCTTGCAGCCTCAACTGGGTCTGGGCCAGGAGAGGAAATGTCAACGGTGGCAGCCCCAGTGACCCAGCACTCTGTTTGTCCCAGGTAAGTTCCACAGGCTCCACCTGCAGCAGGATGAGGCAAGAGAGTCTGCTGGGGCACAGAATGTCAGGTGGGGTCAGCCCTGAACTTGTGTGGCCCTGAGAGGGTACACCTTTCCTAGCGTATAAATGCTAGTCTCAGCTCTGAAGGACTGTATCTGTTTTAACTCTCACCTACCTTGAATTAAAGTATGATTACTGTTATCAAAATCTCATTTTACAGAGGGAGATGTGGAGAACAAGAGAGGTCCAAAACTTTCCAGCTGTCCAATAAGGCAATAATTGAGGTGGCTCTGAGGTGAGCCAGTCTTATTTTAGATTTCAGAGATCATCAAACTTTTTAATTACATTTTAAATTCCTCATTGTAAAGAAAACATATAAACATTTATTTCTATTGACATCTATTTATTTATTTAGAAAATATATACAGCTATTATCTATATATTGTCATTTTGGAGTTGGGGATTAAACCTAGGTTCTTGCACATGCTAAGCATCAACTCTATAACTGATCTAGACCCATTCCTTATATGGTGCACCCTGAACTAGAAATATGAAAATGATGAGATACAGGAAAAAAGAGAAACAGTGTTATCTTCTCTACACATCAAAATGGATTATTTTTCATGTTCCAGGATGAAAGATTTTTTCCCCTTTGGTTTAGAAGTGGGGCTTTCAGAAGGTGACTGGGTCACCAGGGCTCCAGTTTCATCAGTAGATTAATCCATTGATGAGATCATAATGTGGTGACATTGTTGGGAAATAATAGAAATAGGAGTTGCAGCCTAGTTGAAGGGAATGAGTCATAGGTGTGTGACTTTGAGGACTACTGTACTGTACAGTGGTACCTCCTTCAGGAACTTAATTTGTTGTATAATTTTGGAAAAGATGGCCACATTTGTGTTTGTGTGGGAAAGATGGCTGTGGTTGTGTTTATCACTCGATACAGAATTTGCAAACCAAAACATAATTTTGCCAAATGCTTCGATTTGTGAACCAAATTGCTTGCAAACAAAAGCGTTCATGAACTGAGGTACTACTATATATCTTACCCTTGGCTCCTTCCTTTCTGGCTCTCTCCCTCCCTCCCTCCCTCCCTCCCTCCCCTTCCTGACTACAATGAAGTGATTAACTTTTCTCCTCCATACCACTCCACCATGATGTTTCTCCCTCTTCACAGGGTTAAAATTAATGGAACCTAAAGACCATGGACTGAAACCTCTGAAACTGAGAGCCAAAATAAATCTTTTCTCCTTTAAGTTGTTTTGATCAGGTGTTTGTTTCTAGGGACTAACATAAACAATTACTATTTTCCAGTTTCCATAAGTAAGGAATTCAAAGCTGTTTAATAGGGTTCTCCAACTCAAAGTCTCTCATGAAATTTTAATCAAGTCATTGGCTGGGGCTGCTGTCATTTCAAAGCTGGACCGAGGATTCCTTTCCAAGAACCCAGTCAGTGATCTTTGGCAGGTTTAAGTTTGTCATGGACTGTTTGGCTCAGCTCCCCAGGGGCTATGGCTGCATGTTGCCTTCAGTTTCTTGCCACATGGACCCCTCCACTGGGCAGGTCACACAAGGCAGCTGGCTTCATCAAACTCAGCCAGTGAAAGAGTAAGACAGGGAATACCTACAAGACAGATATTTCAATCCCTTGTAACCTAGCACATCTTGAAAGTCATATCCCATCACCTTAGAGACAAGTCACATGATCCCAGTCCACAGTGAAGGGGAGGGCATTATCCAAGGGGATGAATGCCAGGAGGTGGGCATCCCTAGAGGCCATCTTTGAAGTGTATCATTAGTACAACATGCTATCTGGTATCAAGCTGGTAATTCTTTTCATTTTTTTACTTTTTATTTTTGGTACCAGGGATTGAACTCGGGTCCTTACACTTGCGCAGAAGGCGACGAAACCACTGAGCTAAATCCCCGGCCCAAGCTGATAATTCTTGAGGGTCTGTGTAGACCACACCTTGCAATCATTCACTTTAAGGATGCAGTGGTGTGTGTCATCTTGGTCTAGGGGCAGCAGGTAGGTTGGACTGGGGAGCCGAGTGCGAGAGACTGAGTACAGCCACAGAAAGGAGCCACAGTCAAAACAAGGATGTTTGAAAGAGAAGAAGGGTAGAAGGCTGTCTGGCAACTAACTGGAGGGAAAAGATCACTCTAGGGAAGGATAAGGTGAAAAGTTGCTCTTGAGTTCCCCCAAGCCACATGCCCTACACAAAGGGTCCAAAAAAAACGAGTTACGGTGTTTTAGGAAGAGAGGGAAGGAAGAAAAAGGGATGGACAGGGGAAGGAAAGATTCCAGGGTGCTCAGTGCTCCATGACCCAGTGCCCACCTTTACTTGAGCTGGTTCCATAGCTGTTGATGCACAAGAGGACACAGCATCAAGATTTTACCATCTTTCAAATCATCAGGATCTCTCTGATGAGAACAACTCAACATTCCTTAGACCAAACAAATAAAAAGCCTTTTAGAAACTAGCCACACAGGAAAACAGATACATCACTGACTCCAAAATGTGTGCCATTATCAGGAAACAATGGTGGTGCTGATGTCAGGGGAAATGGAGACATGCTCAGTAAAACCTTTGCTCCAAGAAACAGAGGAGAGGGGCAATGGAAAAGAAAGCTTCAAGGAAGTAACCACAGGGCTAAGAACTCAACAGAAGGAGCCATACACAAAGAAAGTCCACAGATTTGTTTTTCTCATCAGAAAGAACACAATAGAGAAATTCCAACGTCTTCTGGAAGAAAGAACCAGATTTGAATGGTTGGCTACAAGTGCTATTTTAGGGGCAAACTTCAGGTGCTTTGTTATTGAAAATATAATTGAATGAATTTGAAAACACTAGTGACTTAAATTGCAGATCTACTAGCATGAAGAAAGATGGTTGAGCCCTATGAGACAGAAGAAGCCTTTCTATCCCATAATGTACCGGTAACAAATATCCCTGGCCAACAGTAGTAGAGACACAGGTGGAAAAAACACTTGACTTGTCAGCCTCTGAGAGTAGCCTTTCTAGCTGGTGCCCTACCATTTCCTCTCTCTGTCAATGACAGCTCCAAGATGCTCAGTTTTATTATTCTACAATGCCCTTGGAATTGGATTGGAACTACTGAATGTGCTAATGAGCATGGAGTGAGTCACACTGTCCCAGCCATCAATACTCTAGCTATTTGGTTCTGTTATCATTAGGAGGCTTTAATGTGTCCATCAATGCAAACCTAAGTGAAACTGATAGAAAATAAATTTATTCATTCAACTGGAGAAAACCCACTGGTTTGTGTTAAGGCATGGTTTTATTAAGAAATAAAACCTCCCATTCTCTATGACTCTTTCAGATTTCCCTACCTTGTATATTAACCAAGACCTTACCTTCACTTCTTTCATGGCTGCAAGGGGCTGTAGCAGGAGTTGGAGAAAGGTGTTCCACCATGGAGTGCAAAAGCTTCAGTTTCCACAAACATCTATCACTCTAATTGAACTACCTTGTAGGACACAAGCATTCATGAACCAGTCAGTGCAAGGGAGTGATATCACTCTGACTGGCTTAGACCAACCAGGATTCACTTTGAGATCTACAGAAGCTCAGTCTTACCCAAGTCAGTCACATCTCTCATTGTAGAGGAGAGAATTGCTACAGGTCAGCAACTTTAATGCCAACTGGTGCATTTGGAGGTGAAGGGACTGCCTTTCTTCTGCATTTCCTTTCCCTCTCTTAAGGTTGCACATCTTGTTTCCTCTCAAGCCAAGTTTAGCTTTATGGAGCTGTGGAACAGCAAATACTTTTCCTCTCCCTGCTAACCATGGAAACTTATACCCCCACATCCTCCAGGGCTCAAAAATGAACTGGTTAATGTGGAAAATTCCTGTTTCAAGAGCAATGGCATGGGGCAAACTTTCTCAAAGATTTCTAATGTAATCTCTGACCCTGTGAAATTGAAATGTTTGGGGTTCTTAAACAAAATGAAAAATTAAGGAATTCTACCTTATATCTCAGGGCTCAGTAAACCATATTTTAAATATAGTTCCCAGGGGATTCTTACATACTACAGTTTTGAGAACTTTGTTAGTAGAAGTTAGGAAATATATTGTGTTGATGAAAGGGATTTTGATGCTCATCAATGTCTTCATCACCAGCATGATCTGTAGAAAACACTTTCTCAATTATAACTAATCCTTATGTTATCCTAATATATGTGATAGAATAGAAATTAAGATCTACACTTCTAGAAAAAAAAGCTGAAGCTTGGAAAGGAAACATAATATAGGGAAGCAGGGTAAATGTCCTTTAGGTGATAGACACTATGTCATTATTATTGCTCTTGGTCATATGACTGATAGGCACTTAACTGGCCAAAAGAGAATAGCAAGTTTACCCTTCTGCTGGAACAACAAAAAGAGTCAAAATATATAAAACAATGGTTTTCAGGACACTAGACATAAGGAAATGAAGGACAGTGATCCCTAAGATATGGAAAAAAAATAAATCTGTCCTATGATGTCCCAGTTTACTGCTTTGAAAAGTTCCCAAGCCATGGAACACAAAAATGATACACAGTGGAGCCCACCTAAAATTCCTTATGTGGAAGAAAGGGAACTGAGAGTACAGAGACCCACAAAGGCTAGAGTTTGCAGGATAGAATGACTGAGGGCAAGAGCTGCACACAATGAGACAGAGTTCCCTTTTAAGTATTGATCAGAGTTGTGATTAGTTTATATAGATGAGAAAACTACCAATGGCCAGGGGAAGAACTATTCAAAGGATGAGAGGGAAGAATGTTGAGTGTTCACACATTGGGAAATGCATATTCTTACAGTCCAGAAAGAAAGTTCATGGGGTATTGGGTAGAGTACTCAGGAAGATTTTGACTCAGGAATGGGGAATAATTAGTCCTAAGATGAGTTTTACTCCAGATTCATCTAACAAGCCATATATAAATAAAATCTAGGCTTAAAAGAAAAAACTGTTTCCAAGAAACTTAACTGTACCTAGAGCAAATGTCAGAAGTATTTGTAAGAATACAAATATATTTAGCACTCAAAGATTGCCAGGCATGCAAATAAAAGAACTCATGGTGGTGCTTTTGCAGAGCTATGAGACTGAGTAAACTTAGAAAGACTGACCACACCAAGTGTTGATGATAATGTGGAGGAATAAGAACACTGATGTATGGCTAATGGGAAGATAGTCACTTTGGGAAAACAGTTTGACAGATTTTTATAAAGGTAAACTTTTGCCTATTATATGATACAGGTGTTCTACTCCCAAATATTTATCCTAAGAAAAATGAATGTATATATTCATACAACAACTTGTTCTCATCATTCTGAGCAGCTTTATTTATAATCACCAAAAGCTGGAAATAATCCAATGCTTATAAACAGATGAATGAATAAACAAATTGTAGAATATCTATGCTACTTTGTGTTACTCACTAATGGAAAAGAATAAACTATGGATGCATGCTATGATATTTGTAATCTCAGTAGTTATGATGAGTATATCAGAGAAAAAGAGTACATTTTGTATGACTACATTTATTGATTTTTCTTAAATTCTTTTATTGGTACATTTTAGGTATACAACACATTTACATTGCTCATTGGGAACTTGTACCTTTACATGATGCAACTTGGTTCTTATTTTTTCCCCATTCTTAGTCCTCCCTTCACCCCCTCCACCCTTCCCTATTTACAAAGACTTTATTTCCATTTTTTCCATTTCTCAGCATTTTT